TTTCTGGCATGAACAAAAATCCTGAACCTCTTAAATGGAACCATAAAGCAATTTGGCTGTCAGGTTGGGATGATTCAGATAGCTGAATGATCTAAAACTATTTCAGTTTACAGTTGGTGTTGGAGCTAAAGTTAACAAGATACAAAATAAGTATATCATCAATCTAATGAATCTATTTTCTTAAATTAAATTCTGCTTACTAAAATTATAATTCTGCGTTATTCTAAATTTAGATTCCTTGCATAATACCATTTATGGCTTGTTTATCATTGTGTGATTGTGTGAGTAGCTTATTTAATTTTATTCCCAACTATTGTATGTTAAAATAGCTACTACTCTAAACTTTGTGTAGGATCTACTATTTTTCATGATAGTTGACGGTAATTGTGTAGTATAAGTACAATATTACCCTATTATTCAATTATGATAGTTTTAATTATGCTTTTATATAAGCTACTTTGATACAATAAGCTACACAAACAACAGGACTACTTCAGCTATTCTGACATAGGATATCATATCTAGCTTCAATGTCAGTCAAAAAATTAATGAAAATCTTATTTTTTGTTAAAATTAATTTTTGTCATTAAAAATTTTTGCATACTATCTAAGTGGAGCAAAAACTTTGCCAATACAAATTTTTGTTACACAAAAAGCCCAGATGAATTTGACAAAATTTTAATGGTACAAATGTACTAGCTTATTTATTATTCAATTGTTAAGGTTGATTGATTGACATTTCATTAAAATGGCAATATAATGCATGTAGTTATGCTCACAGTAAATTTTTAGTTTTTTATAGTTTTACTAAAACTGCATGACTTGGTGGAAATTGGAATCATATTTTAGAGAAGTTAGTAGTTCATTATAACAAACTAAATAGCTAATGCATGAACTTTACCAATTGAGCACTGATATCCCATTTATGGTTGGTCAATTGCAAGAGAACTAGCTAGTCTAGACTTAGAAGTGATAGAATTTTCTCACATTACATATATGCTGGAGGTGAATAAAATAAGACTTAAGTTAATTGAATAAATATGCAATTAATCTGTTTTCTCCAATCATTAAATCTACTTATCATTACTCTAAATTTAGATTCTTTGCATAATGTCATTATGGCTTGTTTGTCATTTGTTTGATCATGTGAGTACCATTTATATTTAGTTTTACTCCAAGCTATTGTATGTTAAAATAGCTACTACTCTAAAATTTGTGTAGGATGCTTTGTTACAAAAGCAGTGATGCGACCTTATGAATTGATCACAATTGTGCCATAATAAGTGATGTGGGCTCACAATTGAACTATAATAATTCGGCATCATGCAGCTCATAGTTGAATTATAATTTTTGTATGAACTATTTTAAATTTAATGCAATAATTATAATCCAATAAAAAGTTTGGTACCAGTATAACATATAGTAACTTCAACTGTTCCATTACCACTCTAGTCTATTGCAAATGTAAGCAGTCTATTGGATGGCTTAATTGTCCATGTGTATCTGTGTGTGCAATATGTATTGTAGCCACCATATGGTCTAACTTCCAAGCAATGCTGGGGTATCTTTCTGAGTGGTAACCTTTTGACTTTGATACATGTGGCCCGAACTAGGCCAAAAAATTAATCTTTACTATGTGTTGATAATATTTTTAAAGTGATACATATGCAGATGTTGTATATACAGATCTTGCTAAATGGTTGGAAGGTCACTGGGCATTGGTGACTTCGTTTCCAATTGATTTCTTTTTATTTGTAGGCTTAACTTGCTAGCATTCCCAAACTTTGCAACTTTATTGCTTGTATCACATTGTTTGCATTACCAATGATCAATGAAAGGCTTAGTGAGAATGAGGAGGAGGACTGAGCAAAGAAAATGAATTCAAAAGTGGAGAAGAGGAGTGGGAAAGTATTCTGGGGTAGGCAGATATTTTCTGGGAATAACCCACGTGTTAGATTGAAAGTGGGTGTGATACTAGATTACTTCTATATAAAGCTAAAGCTGCGAGGATACCCTTCATTCTTGAGTTTCAAAAGGACTAGTCTAATAATTATTTTGAATCCAGCTGCTAAAATTAAGTTATACCTTACAAAATTTGGGTCTGTGTTGGACACTTTCGGTTCTGAAGAATCTTAGCCAGCTAAGAGGCCGGGATGGCTGCAAAACCTGATCATGATGTAAGCTGTACTATTAACTCTTATTCTCACCCTTTTTATTTGTCTATCTTTTTTCCATTTGTTATCATCATTTTATCATACCCATCATGATATCTATTCAAGCCCCCAGTAGCATTATATCATTTTATTATAATAGGTTATTTCTGATATTTTCATTTTTTGAAATAAAATATTTTAAGCTGTGGGGCCTTGCATGAGAAGAGATGCAAACAATAGAGATTGTTCATCAACTTTTCTCCCACACTCTGTGTCTCTTTCTTCTCTTTTTTCTATTTTGCAGGGCCCGAGGCTGCATGCTTTCTCTGAGCTTCGGGGAGGAGGTGGTCGTAGTAGTGGTAAATTATGAAATTAAATATCTGCCTTACAATTGTATTATATATAATTGTCTAATTATCATAATAAAAATTATAAGTAATAGCATAGCTAATGATAAAGTAGTAAATGAAGTGGTGATACATGATGATCTGTTTTGAATTTAAGAAGCAAGAGAGGAAGTGAGTTTAGAAAGGAGGGAAGATGCTGGATTCCATTGCAGGTTAATTGCAGAAGGATTTTGATACATAGATTAGTTACAAGTGATTTGAGAGGGATTGCCTTTATTATTAAACTTTAAGGAGTAATTTGAGGGAACTTTAACTAACAGAAATGGATTAAGTGTAGGATACATCCCTGTCTGGAGGTGGTTATGGGTACATAACTCCTGTGAGATAAGTGGTCGAGATAAGTGGTTGAGGGCGTAGTATCTGACTTATGCCATGGTAAAGTATTGCAGTATTGTTCTTATGTAAACTATGATCCATTGCAGTATTGTTCTTGTGTAAACTGTCAGTGAAAACCCACACTGTCTGCAGGGTGGTTATGGGCATATAACTCCCTCTAAGCATCAAAGGTTTCCATGGTAACCACCCTCGCACCATGTATAAATATAATTAGTTGTAGTGTGTGTGTGTGTGTCGTGGTTTAATTTTCGTGGTTGACAGTTTACATAGCCTGTAAGGGGATGGCACTTCAATGATTTCGTGGGTTTAAATTTCGTAGGCAGCCCATAACCATGAAAACCACGAAATTTATATTCCACGAAAATTTCAAGCTATACGGTACATTATATCAGAATAATGTAAATAGCATAATCTTTGAAAATGAAATGCGAGATCATATAATACTTAAAGTACCAATAATGTGCTCAGACATAATTATACAACACTTCTCTTTATTTGGCTACTCTGAGTCAATATTTATCCTTAATTTTACAGGTGGACTTGGACCACTGCACCTAGCCTGTTTGACGAACAACTCTCATCAAGTTGCTACTTTATTACGTAACAAAGCAGTGGATATCTCTGCTACTGATAAAAATGGATGTACACCACTTCATTGTGCTTGTCATGCTGGGAACAAAGGAATAGTTGAGCTTCTTATTCAAGAAAGAGCTAATCGTCTTACGTCTGCTTTGCATAAAAATGATGCTCACTCTAAAATCAAATCTTATTTCAATCTCACTGATAAGCATGAAGTAAGAGACATGGTAGCTATTGCATGTTCCTGTTACTATCATTATTATGATTATGTAGAATACACCAATTGGTATTGCTTGTATAGCAGGGCATACAGAGATAGTTGAGCTACTACTGAAGCAGGATGGAGTTGATATCAATCACACTGATAGCCAAAAAGTAAGAAATTACTGTTTATTATAAAGACAAGAGTAACAGAAATTTAATTTTATCCATACTGATCAAGGAGCTTTTAATAGCTCACATAATTTGTTACTTTTTTACTATAAATCTGCATGTGTATTTTGAGTGATGGTAGAGCTTTTGCATAGCAATGAAGTGTGCTAAATTAATGTAATTATTTTCTTTTCAACTGGGATAGGAAGTAGGCAGCATTAAAATTTACTAACAGATAAAATGTTTCATTCTGTATATGAGTTACCCAATTTATGATATCAATATTAGTTTTGTTATTAATTATTGATATTAATGTTATTTATTTATATTAGCGTACACCACTTGACATGGCGTGCAAACAAGGGCATACAGAAACAGTTAAACTACTACTGGAGCATGGAGCTAAAGTCAGTGTTACTGATGGAAATGAAGTAAGAAAAATTATTTAGTAATCAATTTTTATAATACAATTAACAATAATATTGATAAAAAGATCATGTAAGATAAGTTGGGGGTAAGTCAGGACATCATTAAAGATAGAATATAGAGTGAAATCAGCCATTTTGATAGTCCTCCTACTAGATCTATTCCTCTAACAAAGAACTGTGGCTTTGTGGGTCAAAAGAGATGAGCTTTGAGCAAACATAATAAGGGACAGTTGTTCAGCTAGCCTTCATTATAGCTAGCCTATAATACTTTCTAATTGAGTTTCAATCCATTATACACAATAGCTCTTCTCTAACTACAGGCTGCTTAATCTTCTTTGTCCTTATTATTATTATTATTACTATTATTATTATTATGTAGCTTACACCACTTTGTAATGCCAGTATACCGAGACATAAAGAAAAAGAAATAGGTCAACTACTACTGAAGTATGGTGTAGCTAATGTCAATCACCCTAATAAAGACAATGTACATGTAAGAGACATAATAATACTGCAGTTTCATTGTGTTTTATTTTTGTGGTTTAGTATGACTTGTAGTATAAATAAGAATTTAATTTCACTTTATTGCATGCATAGCTCTTTTTATTAAGACAAATAGAAACTACCTCTAACTCTAGAGAAGTCTCTTTTCTTGCTTTAAAAGCCACTGTTGTTTTTGCTGTAGTCACACTGGATGTGCTATAAATATGAATGGTAACGTATGTCAAACAAAAAAAAATTTCTATTCTGACATTTTAATGCATACTGCAATTTTTTACAGCAGTTCTTGTCACAGCGTAATACCTAAAAGTAAATGTCATATCTTTAAAGCATCAAGCACAGTATAAATTGACCATGTACATAGTTTGAAACAGGACAAAAGTTATTAATGTTATTATTATTATTATCATTATTATTATAATTATTGCTATTATTATTGTTACTATTATTATTATGTAGCACACACCACTTGGTATGACCTGTATAGAAAGATGCAAAGAAATAGTTAAACTACTACTGAAGAATGGAGCTATTGGCAAAGTCACTGATGAAGATAATGTAAGAGACAAAATTTTTAATTGTATTAGTGAGAGACTCATCAAGTTTTTGCTGGAAGAGAGATTATTATTATTATTATTATTATCATTATTATTTATAATAATAATATTATTATTATTATTATTATTATTATTATAAAAAGTAATTAAATTATTACGTACTATCAATAATGCAAGTAAACCAAGGTAGAAAGACACCAGTTTATGGGGTAGGTTAGAGACACAAATAAGGAAGAAAAATAACAACAAAAATAGTAATACTAGTAATAATAAAATAAGACAAAGAAAAAAGAAAGTGACGGAGAGAGAGAGAGAGAGATGAACAATAAGAACTAATAATAAGAATAATTAGACTTTGATAATTAATAGCATAGTAATAAAATAAAGAGGGAGTAGACAAAGTAATAGGAAGTTGAGAGCAAATATGGGATGAGAAAAGGCTACTCAAAAGAAGCTTCATGTCAATACTCCAAGGTTATAGTTAAATTATGCTATTATAGCCCATGGTTTTTTCTAAAAATGACTCTAAAATCCCCCCCCCATTTTTATTACATTTTCTGATGCACATTGATGTACTTATGCTATGTAGAAAGTTTGAGGTGATTCCGACTTGAATTTTTCAAGTTATGGCCATTTTTAAATATTGGCCAATTTCTGAAAAAATATAGCCCATAGTTTTTCTAGAAAATGGCTAAAAAATCACCCCTAATTTTTATTACATTTTCTGAAGCATATTGATGTACTTATGCTATGTAGAAAGTTTGAGCTGATTCCGACTTGAATTTTTCAAGTTATGGCCATTTTTAAATATCGGCCAATTTTTGAAAAAACTCCTGTACTATAGCCCATGGTTTTCTTCCAGAAAATGACTAAAAAATCACCCCCAATTTTTATTACATTTTCTGAAACATATTGATGTACTTATGTTATGTAGAAAGTTTGAGCTGATTCCGACTTGAATTTTTCAAGTTATGGCCATTTTTAAATATCGGCCAATTTCTGAAAAAACTCCTGTACTATAGCCCATGGTTTTTCTAGAAAATGGCTCAAAAATCACCCCTAATTTTTATTACATTTTCTGAAACATATTGATGTACTTATGCTATGTAGAAAGTTTGAGGTGATTCCAACTTAAATTTTTCAAGTTATGACCATTAAATTTTTTAGAATTTTTAATTTTAGTATTAACAGCTGCTGGTACACATACACTGTCATTTCTCTTATTTCTCTCTCTTCTGTTGTAAGATTGCATATAGGTGCTTCTAATGGATATATTAAGCTAGCTTATAAGCTCTAGGTATTATTGGATATTCAGTAATTGATGGGAATGCATACAAAATTAACATAAAGGAAGGAGTTTTGGGTGGTCTAGGAGTCATAGCATATACAGTGGCACTGGTCTTTGCAATAGTCAGTAGATTCTAAGTCACTGGTGTTATTGCTAATGCTATGATACATCTATGCATAGTGAAGTGTAAGAAGAAACAAAGAGAAAGAAATTAGAGAGTGAAACAAAATGATAAGTTACAAGAACCTTTTTGTATAGTGTCTAACAATCATGATGATGTCTTTACAAGAGAAACAGTTGCTTCAACAAATGCACGTACTACCTACCAATACACTCGTACATCAAGTGTCACAATGAGTGAAGTATCTGTTAACTACTAGGGTGAATGTAAACATTGAAGGGGCGAGCCATCAATTCACATTGTTTGATAAGAAGATTAAAATTATAATAAATCCAGCTCTTAGCCTGCATGCATATTCAGACCCCAGCCTCATGGCCGGGGTCTGAACAGAGCAAACACACCAGTTAACACAACCAAAATAACCCAGTAAAAGAGACAAGGATGAACTATCCTGTCACTTTGAAAAAAATTTGCCAAGCTAAACTTTTAATCAAGCTTCCATCAATTAACATCTTTTTGAAATAAAACTACTGAAATAAAATCAATCCAGCTCTTAATGTGCATGCATATTCAGACCCCATCCTCATAGTCTAATGCTATATGAAACTATTTATTTTGTGCTTATATTGTCTTGTTTATAGAAAAGGAATTTTTTACACTTAATTTCAAGTTTTGATTCAGAATGGAATTAATTTTTGGAAAAAGCATGCATGAGCAATTTATTGCATGTAGATCTAGATCTGTCTTATTCTTCAGTTATTCTAATTACTCATTTTAGTAAGATGAGGCAGCAAATTTGTAGCAACAGCTCCTCCTTTAACTCTCTTCTTTGCTTTGTTTCCAGTCCAAAGTTAAAGTACAAGACATGGATAATGACAGCAACACTAGTAATTGTGTGGATGGGAATAGAGTGAACATTAATATAATAGAAGAAGTCTTTGGTGGTCTAGGAGTTATAGCATGTACAGTGGCACTGGTCTTTGCAATAGTCAGTAGATTCTACAAAGATACTGTACAAAGACTGATATTGTACAAACTGATCACAATGTTAGTGTATTCGCTAAGTCTGTTTATGTTTCGTAGATATGATGACTCAAACATTTATAAAGCATCTGCTGCACTTATTCCAATTTTTGCTTACGAATTGAACCTAATCCTGACCTTCTGGCTAACTGTCATTCTTTATTTTTGTATTGTACACCTCAAAAATTGAAGACTTTCACAAAATTGGAACCAATTGCAATCTTGTCTTCATTTTTGCCTTTAGTTGGTGCTGTAATAATTCCATTCACTAGCTATGACGACTGCACAATAACATGGGAAATCAAATTCTCAGAACAAGGAACAAATAAATTCTATTATTTTTTTGCAGTCAGCTACAGCATAACAGTATTGATACACATTGCATTGTCAATGCTAGTCACTGTAATTTTTATCGTAACAATAAAAAGATCACGACTGGATCTCCAACAAAAAAATGAGGATCAAGCCCATTCTTTACTGATCACTAATAATAAATGGAAAGTACTTAGCAAGCAGTTACTACCACTAGTAGTATATCCAATAGTTAATACAGTAATGGCAATGATTTTTCTGCCTCTACAAGTGGTCTATTATAATGGCAGTACTGTAAAGGATCTATATCTTTATTCATTATTAACCTCTTCCGGTCCAGTCACTGGTATAATTGTTATAATACATTTATGCATAGTGAAGTGTAAAGAGAAGAAAAGAGAAAAGAAGAGAGTGAAACAGATTGATGAGTTAGTGCCTTTCTGTAAAGTGTCTAATAATCATGATGATGTCTTCACAAGTGAAACAGTTGCTTCAACAAATGCACGTACTACCTTCCACTGTCCTAATACATCAAGTGTCACTATGAGTGAGGTATCTGTTAACTATAATGCTATATGAAACTATTTATTTTTATGCTTTTAGATTGTCTTGTTTAGCAAAATAATTTTTGGAATTTTTTGCACTTAATTTTTTTGATTTAGAATGAAATATATAGATTTTTGGGAAAGCATGCATGGGCAATTTATTGCATGTAGATATGGATTTGTCTTATTCTTCAGTTATTCTAATTACTCATTTTAGTAAGATGAGGCAGCAAATTTGTAGCGACAGCTCCTCCTTTAACTCTCTTCTTTGCTTTCTTTCCAGGCCAAAGTTAAAGCACAAGACATGGATAATGACAGCAACACTAGTAATTGTGTGGATGGGAATAGAGAGGAAATTATCATAATAGAAGAAGTCTTTGGTGGTCTAGGAGTCATAACATGTACAGTGGCACTGGTCTTTGCAATAGTCAGTAGATTCTATAAAGATATTGTACAAAGACTGATATTGTACAAACTGATTGCAATGTTAGTCTACTCGCTAAGTCTGTTTATGTTTTTTAGATTTGATGACTCGAACATTTACAAAGCATCTGCTGAACTTGCTCCAATTTTTGCCTACAATATCAATCTAATTCTGACCTTCTGGCTAACCATCATTCTTTATCTTTGTATTGTACACCTTAAGAAATTGAAGACCTTCGGAAAATTGGAACCGATTGCAATTTTGTCTTCATTTCTGCCTTTAGTTGGTGCTGTCATAATTCCATTCACTAGCTATGATGACTGCACAATAACATGGGAAATCAAATTTTCAGAACAAGGAACAAATAAATTGTATTATTATTTTGCAATCAGCTACATCATGACGGTTTTGATATACATTGTATTGTTGATGCTAGTCACTATCATTTTTATTGTAACAGTAAGAAGATCACGATTGGATAGTCACCAAAGAAAAAATGAGGAACAAGCCAATGCTCTACTGGTCACTAATAATAAATGGAAAATGCTTAGCAAGCAGTTACTACCACTAGTAGTATATCCAATAGTTAATACAGTAAATGATCTTTCTCAGTAAAATTCCTCTACAAGTGGTCTATTCAGTATAATGGCAGTAC